GGCTTTATGGAAAGGGTACCCGGGGAGCTCAGACACCCCAGCAAGGACTGGTTGGTGTCAGACGGCCTCTAGCTCTATCCTGTCTCCCGTCTGTCCCAGGCCTTGTCTCTGTGATACGCAGTCCCTGCAGCCCTTCTTGCCCACCAGTTAGCCCTGGGTGGGTGGGAGTGGGAGCTGGTGATTTATCACCAGTCGCCTGTCTTCCATCGGAAACGCTGGGGGTGGGCGCAGACGCTGCGGTGAGCTATGGGCCACCCACCCCAATGTTGTTGCTCTGTCTGGGCAGCGGGTGCGGGCCTCCCCCTCCCTACGTGGTCTAGTCTGGGCCCCCCCCCCCCCACCTTTCCCAGGGCCTCCTCCTTGGGGTGGCTTCAAGCAGGTCAGCCAAGTTCCGAGGTCTTTCCAGGCTATGGAAGACTCATGGAGAATCCCAATGTTTTCCGGGTCACCAGAGTGGCCGAGATGCCTGGGCCTCTTTTTCTGAATCTTTGAGCTTCCCCTCATCATCCAGGGTAGAAATGGCAGGAGTCCAGCGCCCCCTGTCATCAGCTCCGCCCCCTCGCAATGCACACAGCGGGGGCCAATGAATGTTTACGGAGCAAACATAGGGGGTGGGGGGCGCACCTGGACTGGTCCACGTCCTTCCCGCCAGGCGGAAGAGGTCCTTATCTTTGCGGTTGACCGGCTGTCAGTGCGCCAAAGGATAGGAAGAAGCCCCCCCCCCGCCCCCATCTTCTCTGCGTCTGTCAGCGGCCTCGCAGCGCCCTCCGCTCCATCCCCCGAGGGAATGACCTGCAAACCCCTCTCGGTGCAGTCTGGACGGTCCCCTGCTTTCTAGGTGGACATCCTAGGCATCCTTAGAGTTCGCCCAGGCTTTTAGCCAGTGCGCTGAGCTCTGCGTCTTTTGCGGATTGCGAGCGCCCTCTGGTGCCAGTCGGGGTCATGGTGCTCGAGGGGACGATAGGGCTCAGCAATAGGCAGTTATAAATAAGGACGGCCACAGCCCCCACCTCCCGCAGCACGTGGCTATTTCACAATGAGGTAGAGGCTCTCTGAGGGAGGTCACCGCTCTGCCTATGCCTAGGCTGGTGGCCTTGTGTGGCCTTACTGGGACTCCATCTATTCAGCTCCTTGGTCAGTCATTGGGTGGCTGACAGGACAGCGGCGTGACCTCTCTAAATGCACCTCTGTGCCCTGTGTTAGACTAGCTGAGGCCGGGAATCGTTCACTTTGAATGAAGCCTTGGATAAGGATGAAGGTCTCAGGAGGGAGGGCAGATCCACTGTGGCAGGCAAAGGAGTGATGGGTGCAGCTTGTGGAACAGGCGCACAAAGGCTGGGCCTTGCTGTAAAGCTGAAGTCTTGGCAGACCGAGGGAGGGGTGGGCAGCGTGGTGTAGTCACCCCTGACTTCCTGAGCTCCAAAGGAAGGGCTCAGAATCAGCCAGCCTGGGTCTGTATGTGTGTAGCAGTACCATGTAAGCCTTCGAGACCGGCTTTGTGACTTACGCTCATCCGGGAGGAGTCCCAGACCACAGAGGGGACCAGTTGGTGACTGGGGAGGAGCCTCCAGGGCAGGTGTGTTGTCTCTGAAGTGGAAGACAATGCTGGAGGCTGGGCTGAGGAGGAGGTGTGTGCATTCAGAAGCACTGAGCTGGGACCATCCACTTCCCCACACTTGTTGGAGGCTGAGACCCCAGGCTAAGCACGTGGAGGGTCAGCTTAGGGTCAGGAGTTAGAACTGGAGAAATTTCCAGGCCATTAGGAGGGCCAGCCATTGAGGCCAGTCTTGGCACTGGCCAGTTGAGACACGGAGGGTCCCTCAAGAGGGTCTCCTGGGGGAACGTACAGCTGCCCCGTTAACCAGGGAGCAAGAGGTCCATCCTTCTGTCTGAACTCACTGTGATGCCAGCCCTGTTTCCTCCCCAGTGGAGCCCAGGCTTTTGTGGCAACTGACCTTCAGGATTCCCAAACCCATCCTCTCAGCAAGACTCTGTCTGGTCCTGGAGCCTTCAAGCCCTGTGAGCAGTGAGCACTGAGCCTGGGCTCCTTCCTAAGGCTCCTGCTAAGACTCATTCCACTGTCTGGGGTTACCTCCTTCCTTAGCTTGGAGACATTTTGGGACCTCTGGTCACTTTCTTCTAGGCCCCCAAACTGCCTCCTAAGGGTTCATAGTGAGAAAGAGAGTGGGAACCCTAGGAAGCTTGTCCCAGCTCTGCTCCATCATTGCCACAGGGCAAGACGGAAGCATGAGATGATTCTTAAAGACCTGATTTGCTCCTCTGAAAAGCAGAAGGAATGCCCCTCCCCACACTGCATTTAACTGACTTCAAGGTGTTATCTGTGTGCTTCAACCAGGGGTCCTGAGGGTGACAGGCCACCCCTTGGGAGGGTGGACAAAGAGGACACTGTCCCTGATGCAGTGATAAGGCCGGATAGACAAGCACACAGTTCGCTGCCGCCCACAATGGGCCGGATGCCCTGCACCTGCCCACAAAGGAGGGATTGGCTTATGCCTCACTCTGACTGGCAGCCTCTAGATAGAATCAGCCTACTGGAGGGTCATCTGTCTTGTCCCACAAAGGCCAGGACAAAGGCCATGTCAGCTACAGCCTCCCCGACCTGGTCAGTGGTGGTCACAGGACCCTGTGCTTCCCTGTGCTGAGACCTAAGGCTCTTCATGAGGATCGACAGGAACAAAAGCTTCCATTATAGAGGCAGCCAGGTGGGACCCACATTAAGGGCAGGACAGGGACCCCTGAGCCTGGTATCTCCAATGGGGAAGGTGCCATTCTGCTCATTTGGGCACCCAGAAAGGAACCCGATTACCCAGTTTCTCCGCTCCAGAATGGGAACGCGGGAAATGGAGTGCTCCTTGTCATCCTGAGCAGTGAAGGAGACTTGCTGGAGAGACAGAAAGTGAGCTGTAAAGGGAAGGGAGCCGTGGGCCAGGCTAGGAATAGCATGTGTAAAGGGCAGGAGGCAGGCAGGTGTGCTGCAGCTGGGCAGGCAAGGAGGCAGAGACGGGTAACGTGTGCTGTCAGAGTCTCCTGTGCTGTCGGGAGGGCTGAGGCTGCTGTGAGTTGGTGAGTGAGGATGGGAACACTTGGAGGGCCCAGGGTTGTGGGAGGAGGCCTGGCTCACTCCAGGCCATATTTCAGAGACTGGTTAAAGGCCCTTGTATCATGTCTCTGTAACCTAGCCTTGCCTCCTCTTCCAGAGTCCAATTCCCCACTGGGATGACCCATGGAGTGCCAGTGGACCACAGACCACAGTCACCTGCCTTCAAGTCACCCCAACCTCCATCTGTCTCTGGGTGCTCTGATAGCTGTCCACACAGCGGGGGTCCATTGACCAGGAACACCTCAGTTTCTCATCTGTCCTTCAAAGGTTCTCATGGCCCTGGCTTCCCACAAGAGCCACTCCCCTGAACATCAAGCTGCCTGCCCATACTGTTTCCAGCTTCCTCAGTGCCAGAGGGGTCTCTCTGTCCGTAGCATCCTCACTGTGAATGACCTCGAAGACAGCTGGGTAGAGGGAATTTTAACCACTGACTCCTGTTTGCCCTAGGCAGTTCGGCAGTGCATGAAAATGTCCCCTTGAACAACCTCCCCCAGGCCCTTTCTGGAATTTGGCAAGGCCAGATGGTACAGAAACCGCCAGGTGAGGAGGAGAAAGGTTTATTCAGTGTGGAGTCTGGCAGGGGAGACTGCTCAGTGTCGAGCTGGGCCGCTCCACCTCCCTAGGCGCTGAAGGCTCAGGGTTGCTTCACTCCGGTAGTGCTGGCGGCAGTTTGGCCCCACGTGGATTTAGGCCTGCCGAGCTTGGATCTGGAAGACTGGGGAAGGGCAGAGACCGAGGCAGATCCAGGTGAAGGTGAGGGTGCTCCAGCAGGACCTGTAAAGTTTGCAGGTCTGCGCCTGTCCTTTCTTAGGATGCAACGGCCCCGGCCGGCTCAGCCACCAGCGGGGTTGTGAGCGATAACTCGCGGAAGGCGTGGGCGCGCGCGCGCGCGCGCAGCCTCCGCAGGCGACCCAGTAGGAGCGCCAGCAGCAGCGCGTGTAGCAGCCCGAGGACCAGCAGCGCGACCTGCGCCACCAGAGCCCCCCAGCAGAGCAGGCCGGGCGCGCACGCTGCCCGCAGCTCTTCCTCTGCCACGTAGGGCAGCAAGCGGCCGCGCAGCGCCGGAGGCGCGACACAGCGCAGGTCGCGGTAGGGCGCGCGTTCGGGGCGGCCGGCCAGCCAGGCGCGCAGCGGCAGTAAGCGGCAGTCGCAGCGCCAGGGGTTGGCACCCAGGTGCGCTGCGCGCAGCGCAGGGAGCGCATCCAGAAGCCCGGGCGGCAGTGCCGTCAAGTTGTTGCCGGTCAGCACCAGTTCGGTGGTGTCGGGAGGGAAGGCAGCGGGCAGCGAGGCCCAGGTCAGTCCGCGGCGCCCACAGTCCACGAGCGTCCCTGCGCAGCTGCATGGCGCGGGGCAGCCTGCGGCTGGGAGGCTGGGCCGCGCTAGCAGCAGAAGCAGCAGGCTCAGCGCCCCGCGCGGCCCTGGAAGAGAAGCGCTGGCATGAGCCGCGAGCATCACCGGGAGCGCCAGCGCTGCTCCTGCCAGTTCCTAAGGCCAGCGTCCCGCGAGTCCGCAGGCGCCTCCACCCCGGCCACCCTGCACGCTGGTTAGTCTTTCCCTCCAAGTCTGACCCAAGCCTTTGCCTATTGCTGCCCAAACCAGAACACCTGGCGTGGCTCTGTCCAGGAAGCAGCAGACCCGACCCCAGAACTCACGGGAGCCCATGGCGAAAGGATGGCAGCCCAATTCTTTCTGGAGTGGCGACGGCCCGAGACTGCAGCAACAGACCACAGTTCTGCCGCCTGGCCAAAAATAACTCTGAGCCGGCGCGCAAGGGTGTTGCGGTGACAGATAGGGTACTATCGCCAGGGCCCCGCAGGCATCCCGGGCTTCCGCCCCCGCCCGCTCCCTGGGCCTCATGGAACACTCGGACACTCGCTGCGACGTTCACCAACTTTGTTCTCCTGCCACCAGGACAGGACGCGGCATTCACAACTGAACAAAACAGAGAATGGGGTGTGTGGGGAGGGGACATGCCGGTGGAGAGATGGAGGAGGCCAAGGGCTGGAATCCCAGAGCGACAGAGCTGCTGGGAGAAGACCTTGACCTATAGGTAGGTGAAAGTAGTCTAGGCATGGGGGACCCCGTTCCAGCCGCCCCCGGAGTCCGTCAGGTCGACCCAGGAAGGGGGCGTGAGCGGTCTAGCGCATCGCGTCCCCGCCTTCCTCCTAGACACTTCTAGGTCTGGGGTCTTCCTAAAGGCCTCAGCCTCCAAACCCGTGTGCTCTGGTCCTGAACAGAGCGTGGTTAAGTAGTGAGGGGGATCCGGCCTACTTCCGCACACAGTAGGACATTAGCATATGCTTCCTAGCCCCCTGGAACCCGCAGAGGGGGCCTCCCAACTCCGTTCTGCGGCACTAGCTTAGTTAATAGGCCCGAGATCCTGCATCCGTGTCCCTCCTCTACCCTGGTTTATTGGCCGCTGGGGCAGTGATCTTTTAGGAAGAGAGATCTTGGAGATTATGCACAACTTGTTCCCTTAAGACAGGCGGGAGATGGGGGCCGGGGGCGGCAGGAAGTTGGGGGAGGGGCTGTGGTTCAGACCACTCAGAAGCAGATACAAATGACCGGGAAGGGTGGATGCTGAGAATAAATTAGGGTCATCTGGGGGCTGTGGCTCTGTGGCTCCAGGTCTGAACAGTCTGGTCAAAGCCACTTTGGATTAGGGTTAGGTCCAGGCCATCTGAGATCCAGATGAACCCAGAGTTGAATCCAGGACAGTCTGGGATCCAGGGGTTGAGGGGCCAGCTCGGAAACCGGCCGTCTATCCTTGGCGATGTGGGACTGGGGCTGGGTGTCACTGGTCTTGCATTTGCTGCTTCATCTTCTGCAACATCTCCTGCATGCGCCTTAGCTGGTGGGTGGGACGACCCAAGTCAGAGTGAGAGAAGACAGGAGGTCTAGCCCCGCCCTCTGCTTCTCCTTCCTACCCTTTCACCCGGCAATCATGGCCTCCCTCTCTACGTCCACCCACCTCTTCATCCTTCATCCTGATGAGCTTCTCCGTCTCCGCGTCCGGGGTGGGCAGCGGTAGGATAGGAATGGGGCTCTCCATACGGCTGTCCTGTGTGAGTTTGCTGTGAAAGAGAGGGCTGAGCTGTTGGGAGGTTCAGGTCAGGAGGATGGGGGATGCCAACGTCAAGACGCTGGGATGATTTAGGGACTGGGACAAAGTTCTGGTGTCTGTTGGGCAGGGCGGTCCTCCGCGGCGCCAGGGCCTGGGCCAGGGTGGGCAGGTCAACTCCGGTAGGGTAGCCCACCTGGTCATCTGCTGGATGCAGTGGGCACGGTAGTTCTCGTAGTGCACATCGCACGTCACATCCTTGAGGTCATGCATGTGAGTTCGGATTAGCATGTTTCGAAGCTTCACAAAATCGCAGTGAGCTTGATTCTCCACTGTGGGGCAGGAGCGGGCAGTGGGCAGGCCTCAGCCTCGGGGAGCCTCCTCCTCCGCACCCACCGCTCCCTGCCTCAACTCACCTTCCACGATCCCCCAGGGGTACAGCCGTCCCCGGACTCGCTGCCCCTTGGCCTCCACCACAGTGTTGCTGCCGATCACGGCGAAGGGCGCACTTTCCTGGGGAAGGGGAGCAAGGACCCAGCCCAGCCCCGCGTCGTAAGAGGGCCGGCTCAGAGGCTGAGGGGGCGTGGCCGTCCCAGCGCGGCCACCATCTCCCTCCCAACCCGCACGGCCCCTCTTATGGTGGTGCCTCTGTTACCCACTAAAGCCACAACCTCTGCATAGCTCAAAGCCCTGGGGCTTCTGCCAGGCTGTGCACAGCTTCTCTGGCTCCGGATGCTTCCTGGAGTTTCCTCCATTTTTCAAGGCAGAGCCAAGACCAAGCTTACTGGTAGATGGCCCTGCCCACTGCTCCGGCTTTCTGTCGTCATCTTTCTAGCCTCCGGGGTATTCAAAGCCAGCGCCCTCCGGAGCTCAGAATCTTGGGAACTAGGGCTCTACACAGCCACTGTGCTGATTCTTGGAAAGCAGGCCAGAATGGTACCAGTAAGTGCTCCAGTAAGCACCCAGGGGAGGTCCAAATGATCCACCACAGACTAGACAGGGATACAGGTGACCCTGTGGCCCTTGTGACAGCGGGTGTAGTCCCTCTTCTCTGGGAACAGATGATTCCTGCCTTGATCACGTTGGACCCGCGGGCCGTGTGGCCTCCAATGTTTTGCCCTGGCAACCTCCTTTGCCCTCCCCCCTCCCCGGCAACGTGCTCACCTTCAGTTCGCGGTCCTGTTGCTTGAAGTCTTCATCTTCATCTGAGTCACATTCTGGAAACTGGTACACATGGATCCCAAACTTGTCAATCTCCTCCCGTATCTGCAGCAGTGGGGCCAGAGCTTAGACTCAGCCCTGGCCAGCTCCTCTGGAGTGTTTGGCCAGGCCCCCCTTAGCTATAGAAGACTCACCCTATCCTTCAGCTTCCGGATCTCACTGGGGACCAGGCAGTCGGCCTTGGCGATGAGCGGGACGATGTTCACCTTCTCATGCAGCGCCTTCATGAAACCCACATCCACTGGCCGCAGTCTGCAGAGGCAGGGTGGAGATGGCGTTGTTGGAGGGTGGGGATGCCCTGACGGGGACACCCACCCTGAGCCGGGCTTTGGGACTGCCACACACCCGTGTCCGAAGGGCGAGATGAAGTACAGACAGCAGTGCACCCGGTTGTCTTGGATGTTCTTCCGGTTGAGGCCACTTTCATCACGGAAGTACTGCTCAAACTGCTGGTCCACGTAGTCGGTGATGGGCTTCCAGCTGCAAGTGGAAGAGAGCGAAGCTGGCCCTAGAGTGGCGGCGGTGAGGTGGCGAGGTAGTGGGGCAAGGCAGTGGCGGCTGGGGCAGGGAACCTGCTCCTCACCACTCAGAGTTGTTCACAGCGTCCCCAAAGCCGGGTGTGTCCACAATGGTCAGCTTCAACTTGACCCCCTTCTCCTCAATGTCCACGGTGTGTTTCAGGATCTCGACTGTCTGGTTGATGCGTTCTGCAGGAGAAGGAGAGGCAGAATTTGCAGGCCATCTCCACCTTCACTCTGGGCAGCAAGGAGCCTTACCCTCACCCACCCTGGTGCCCGGGCCTCAGTCTCATCATGACTCCTCCTCATCCTCAAATAGGGATCCATGCCTCAAGCGAGTGGAAGGGTGCCCTCTGAGGTCTCTCAGGGCAGGGACGAGTGAACTGGTGAGGACTGTGTGCTGGCTACTCACCCTCAGCACTCAGCAGCTTCCGGTCCTTGTACAGGTCAGTCAGAAAGAGGCTGTGGACAAGAGTGGACTTCCCCAGGCCGGACTCACCTGGCCACAAGGAACCGTCAGAGCATTGGGTTAGATCTGGGCTGAGCCGGTCTGACCCATGGCCTCAGATGCCCCACCCACACGTCTGACCACTCACCAGCCACCATGAGGGTGAAGTCGAAGCCCTTCTTCACCGACTTTCGGTGCACTTGGTTGGGCAGAGTGGCGAAGCCAACGTACTGCTTGTCGATGTCCTGAGGGCAGGGGTGGAGTTGGGGCAGGTCAGGGGCATATCCTAGATGTTTGGGGCAGCCCAAGGCCCTGTCTCTTATGTGGCTCAGGTGAGCAGATGGCACAGCCCCTGGCAAGGGGCATTTCATTCGCAAAGATGGGGTGAGGGATGTAGAGCAAAGGCCGGAAGGACGAGGTAGGTGAGGGGGGTGGCAGGAAAAGGCACCCCGCCCCAGCCTCAGCAGAGAGTCGAGACTAGGATGGGGAAGAGGGAATGTCAGCCTCTACAGAGGGGTCCCCCCAGGTGGATGGTGGGAATCAGTACTGAGACCCCTCAGACACATTCAAGAACCTCAGCACGAACTCATCCCCAGAGTATCCGGGGTGGGTGGCTCATCTGGCCCAGATCCAGGCTTGGGGGTGGTGGTTCCTGAAGCAAGCATCCGAGCAGGGGCTATTTATAGACTGCAGTACCGAGCCTCCCCCGCCGCAGGGTCTGCGTTGCCTGCACCCACCCCTAGTGAACATCTGCCCTGGGAGCCCCTGCCACCTTCTCTGGTAGCCAGAGGATCCTGGCCAAACAAACGTGCGCACATGACCCACATTCCACCCTGACTCCACATACACACACACACAACCACACACACACACCTTGAGCCGCCTCTGGGCCTGGGTGCGCGGCGACAGCAGCTGCTCCACCAGGCGGTCCTGGGGTGCTGCCAGTGAGTCCATCGTGGCGACCCTGCGGGCCCTGCCGGCCGTGTTCCGACCCTACACCGGGGTCAGGCCAGGCGGGGCCAGCGATCGGGAGCGACTTGCGCTGGATAAATTTGCTCTTAAGCTCTCTTCTGCCTCGGGTTTTGAAGACTCGAGAACAGAGGCCGGAAGAGGGAGCATCGCCTACCTGGTAGGCCGCTGACCTCAGAAGTCGTGCGAGCCATTCCCCTGTCCCTGCGCGGGGGCCGCGAACTGTGGTCGCGTCGAGGCTCAGCAGCGGCTAGCGCACTGGAGCCCGAGGCGGGGCTTCGCGGACTCCCGGCAGCGGCGGCGGGGACCGCCCCGCCCGCCGTCGCCGGGAAACGGTCGCCTGGAAATTGGGCCGCAGGCGGAGCCTCGAGAAAACGACAGCGAAGGGCAGGGCCCAACAGAGGCGCGCGGGCGGGGGCGCCGCGTGGACCCGGAGCGCAGCCGTGGCACCCGAGGTCGGGTCCAGACCGTCCGCAGGCGGGCGGCGAGGTGGCTGCGGTCGCCGACCTGCCTCCCGGACGCCGCGCGGCTGCCGCCCACCAGAGGGCGCTGCAGAACGCTCCGGACCCACGCGCAACCGCGCGGGAAGCGGCCCCAGCCAACACCTTGCTGTCCTCGCACTTCATCCGAAAACCCCCCACAACCGTGCCATGGCTACCAAACTACCCACCGACACACCACTCCCCACTCCCTGAGGGCTCACTCTTCCCTAACACCCGCGTGTGCGTGTGCCTGTGATTGGGGGTAATTCTTTTCCCGCGTGGCATCTTCATAGGCGCTGAGGACAGAGTGCACCTTTTCCTTACTGAGTCCTGCCAGGACCTGTCCCGGATCTCGCTCTCCCCCCTGCTTAGCATAGGTTAACAGAAGGGGAAGGAGAGGCAGAGTGGCACTGGCCTTTAATCTCTGCCCTGGGGAGGAGAGACAGGTGTATCTCTGTGAGTTCGAGGTCAGCCTGGTCTACATAGTGAGTTCCAGGACAGCCAGAGCTACATAGTGAGACTCTATCTCAAAAAACAAACAAAAGGGTGCAAGGGCGTGCAGTGGTCAGAGCTCAGATGGCCCCCTTCCTTCCTAGCTTGGAAGCCTTGGTCAGGCTGCAGCGAGGCAAAGCCTCTGCCCACAACATGCCAATACTTGAGGTACCACATGTTCCTGGAACCATAGGATGCTGATGAACTGGGAAGTCACCAACCTTTCCTCATTCCTTTCAACCCCACCAGAATCAGAGAACACCAGCCCCAGGCGGCAAGAAACTAGACAAGCCACTGTATCCCAGTGGCCGAAGGACCAGGAGACCTCTCTCCCCCACGCAGGAACCCTCCCTCCTCCAGGAAGGCTCTCCCCCTTGGCTTCTTGGAGGGGCCTCCACCCTGGGTCTTGCTATGGGGCCTGAGGGTGGCTGGCACCTGGGGAGGAGGGTGGGCCCACAGAACGAACAGGAGAGCCATTCATCCCAGGGCTGAGGAGCAGCCTCCCAGTTCTGGCTCCCAGAAAGTGGCTCCTGGCTCCTGGCTGACCTGCAGGAAGCCTCCAGGCTGAGTCCACCCACCTTCCCTGCCCCCACTGCTGGGGGCACAGCATCTCACACACACACACACACACACACACAGCTCTCAGCCCGGCATCCACCCAGATAGGTGGTATCTCCAGCCTAGGGCATCTCTGGAAGACCACACGGACAGCCGTGGCCTGGGCCACACCCTGATGCTGAACAGAGCTGGCTGGTCTCACACTACCCCTCCACTTGTCCACTGGGAAGGTACACGCTCTGGTGAAGTTCAGGTCAAACAGCCAGAGTCTTGCTCCCCATTCACAACCTGTCTGAGTATCACCCACTCTGGCCATCACAGCCTGCGTGTCTTGGTGGAGAAGCCCTAAGGAAGGGGGTGCTCTGCACAACCCTTTTTCTAGTCCCTGAGGCTCAACAAATACTCCTCAGGGATATGACACCATACGCCACAGCTGTGCCCACCTCTTCGTGCGAATGAGATGCTTGAGGCTTTTCCATCCCTAGAATTCTGAGTAGGCACAGCTGACAGAGGTCTCATTGCTGCCCAAGAAGGGGTGTGAGGGAAAGGGGCAGACAGACAACCTCCTTCCACAGACTACTGCTCTGACCCCCCCCCCCTCAGTGTAGAGTAAGAAGGAGACCTGGTTAAGCCCTGTCTGCACACCACTGTGAGCCCTGGAGGTACTGTGTACTGCTTCCCCCAGGCCCACGGGGTCCCAGCCCAAGCACCTGAACTCTGGCACTCTTCCGGGGCTCCCTCCATCTGCCATGACCCAGTGCCCCAGTGCTCTCTTCCTTTGGGCCTGGGGCTAGGGGATGGTGTGAGGCTGGCTCCTAACTGACCTCAGAAGATGGGCGGGTGTAGGCATGAAGGGCTCACAATTCAGCAGGAAGGGGGGGGGGTCGCCATCCTGGAAGCAATGGACAGGAGAATGGTGCCCAGCAGCAGGTACCCAAGGCAGGTGACTTGGAGGACCTTCCGGAGGCCTTGGAGAAGCCTGGGTCCCTGCCTCCCCAGCCTCTGGCTCCTTCCCTCTCCCTTACACAATAGCCAGGCAACGGTGTCCCCAGCAGGCTTTGTCTGGCCTGCTGATGAGGATGGAGAGGCAGTTCTCTAGGAAGGCTCCTGGGGGAGCCCCTCCTATAAGCCTCTCCAGTCTTGGGCGGGGCATGTCCCTACCAGGGGGCTCCAGCTCACCCCATCTGCCGGCTGCTTTTGCTTTGCCCACTTCACTCTGGTCTGGTACTCTGGGGTCCACCCGGCATCAACGCTGGGTGTGAACCTCCATCCCCAGTCAAGCCTGCCCAGGTCTTCGGGTGTCAGAACTGGGCCTTTCCCCCCCACTCCTTCCTTCAAACAGGGCCTCACTCAAGCCACCGAGGACAGGGTCGCCCACTTCCACACCACTCAGCTTTCACAACCCTCGGCTCCTTTGGGTTTTCACAGGGTACCCAGGCCAGCTTCTCAGTCGCCCCGCACTCTTGTAGGGGCGGGGATCAGGCTAGCCCTTTGGAAGGCCACAGCCTGGCTATACCCAAGGGTTGGAGGACCAGTGCTGGGCACTGGGATGACTCAGATAGGGAGCGGTGGAAGTTCCAGGTCTCGGAAGGGGCCCTGCCGAGGACTGGTGAGCATGAATTTATGTGTGGGAGAGAGAAGCACGAAGGTGCATGGGCATGAAGTGGGGTAAGCAGAAGCCCCCATGATGCTGCTCAGGGGACTGGAGGACCCCCCCCTCCCCTGTTCCTGGCCTGTCATAACTACAGCCTCACCCTGGACCCCCAGCACGTGGCCTTCTGGTTAGGTTAGGAAGGAGATGCTGGCCCTGGACCAGAAGAGAGAGGCCCTCAACCCTGGGGCGATGCCTAGGCCCCTGCTATGCAGGTCAGGGAACCAGGCGCGGCGCCCACTCTTCCCCTCCGTAGCCCCAGGAGCGGCGGCGCTGCCCCTACAGATAATCGATTATCGCCACAGGGCTGGGTGACGGCCGGCGGGGGCGGGGTCATGCCTGGGCGCCACCAGCATCGGTGCCACAATGGGTGACAGCCGGTCGGGTCTCACCACCGGCCGAGCGGCGCGGCGCCGGTACCTGTTTGTCCTCTGCGTGGTCGGGGTCGTGGTCCGGGGCGGGGCGGGTCCGGGCGGGTCCGGGCCGGCGGGCAGGGGAGAGACGGAGACAGACGGTGAGAGGCGGGCGGGCGGGCGGCGGGGACAAAGGCGCGCGCGGGCACGCGGACAGGCGCCGGGCTCACCTGGGGTCGCCAGCTTGCTCTTGTACCGCAGTCCTGTGCTCATGGTGGCCGCCGGCGGGGGATGTGCGGCGGCGGGCGCGCGGGCGGGGCGCGGCGACCAGCGGTGGAGGCCGAGGCCGGCTGCGGGGTGACCCGCCCCTCCGCGCCGCCACCACCCGCCCCGCCCGCGCGCCCGCCAGCCAATCGGCGCCCGCCGCGCCCACGCGCGACCCGGAGCGGCCGGTGGGGGCGGGGACTGAGGCGTCCCGCTGTGGTCCCCCCCAGGCCTTTGGTTCTCTCGGCTGGAGCAGCCGGGCTATTCCCACGGCCTAGTCCGGAACGCCCCCTCCCCTTCTAGCCCAGGGCTGGACTCTGCGCTCCCTTGGCTGTCGCTGGAACCCTTATCCTGGGCCTCTGACCTTCCATCACTGTGGCCATTCTGTAAGGCCTGTCCCAGGACTGTGCTGTCAGCTTCATGCAGCTGATGCATGAGTTCAGGGGTTATAGGTACCTCTCTTCACCCCATTGAGATGCACTTGGGAGGGGCAGGCCTGGGAGCCCTGCTCCTGGTACTGGTTGTTGGGCAGAATCCAATACCCAGCTCTCCTCCTACAGTCACGCTGGGCACCCTACTCTAGAAGCACACGCACTTGGGCAAGATGCAAAGCACATGGCGGGGTGTGGTTGCACGGCCTCTTTTCCTGGGCTGCAAAACGGGAGTACTTGAGGTGTGGGGCCAGACGGGCACAATCTGAAGCCCACCTTACCCCTTCTTGCTCTAGCTCTGGCCACTGGTGTTCTGTAGACTCACAGGCTGTGATGTGTGCTCTCCTCAGCTATCACCCTGGCAACTGGGGGGCTGAGGGGCACCATGAAGCCAGATTCGGGGTCAGAGTCCCACTTATACATGAAGATGCTGTGGCCTTGTATCTTCAATAAGTTGATAGGACTAAGCGACCCACGGTGTGAATGTCACACCTACCTTCTGTGTCAGTGTCACATTCCTAGGTGCCTTTGACCTATACGTCACCAGAGAGTCTGTGACCAGTGCAGGGACTTTCCCTTGTCCCAGCCTCTCATCTACAGCCTCAGGACCAGATTGGGGTGAGTGTGTGACACACTGTGGTACTTCTTTGGAGTCTAGAGGGCACCCACAGTCAAACACTCATCATTTTGTAGTGAAACACTGGACTAATCCCTCCAGTAAGTGTCTGCACATCTTTTAGGTTTGGCCTCACCATTGTATTTGTCATGGAGTTTTGGGGAAATTGGAACTCTGATAAAGGAATATAGGCCATCTGAGGCAGTGTCAGACACACTCAAAGTGCCAGGACTTCTGAGCATGGCACTTATCAGTCCTGTGAGTCTGGAGACACCATGAAAGAATAGTGGGACACTTAGCATGTGTTGACTGTTACTGTCACTCTGGCGGCAAAAACCAAGTGGGAGAAAGGAAGAAAATCCTTGGGGCCGAGGAGGGCCACTTCTGGTGGCCTCTAGTTAGGGGGTTGCTTTTGGCCTTGGGGGAAGTGCAAGAGGGAGGCTTGTGTGTAGAAGAGGACTAGATTATAAAACAATTTGGAGGAGCCCTCAACACAAAGGGCTTGGCGAAAAAAAAAATGATTAAGAAAAGGAAATAGCTGGGCGGTGGTGGCGCACGCCTTTAATCCCAGCACTCGGGAGGCAGAGGCAGGCGGATCTCTGTGAGTTCGAGGCCAGCCTGGTCTCCAAAGCGAGTTCCAGGAAAGGCACAAAGCTACAC